ACTCCTCATGAGGAGGAAGTTCTTCACTTTGAGGGTGGCAGACCACTGGAATAAGCTGCCCAGAGATGTGGTAGAGTCTCTGGAGACATTCAAAACCCACCTGGACATGTTACTGTGCAGCCTGCTGTGGCTGGACCTGCTTTGGCAGGGGGGTTGGACTAGGTGATCTCCAGAGGTCCCTTCCAACCCCATGTCATTCTGTGATTCTGGGTAGTTCTGTGCCTAAAGGTGAGCTCAGTTTCCTGATGTACCTCAGCACATGGAGGAATCTCAGTGAACCATAACATAAAAGGGCTTTAAGTGGCTTCAGAATTATTGTGCTGTTGAGAAGACATTTGAGTTTCATGTCCTTGCCCATCTCAGGAATGCTCTAAATAACTTCAGGAGTAAACAAGACCACAGAACAGGCCATTTCTGTTCACTAGTGCGTAACTGTGGAGGTGAAAATCTCCAGATGTAGCAGATGGAAGTGAAAAAAGCAACTCTTTTTAGAGAGCACAGTCACTTTAGGAATACTTTTGGATGGATAGATCTAGTTATCTACCACCACTGCCTGATTGCCCTCAGTGCAGAAATGCTAGAAGCTGATTTTGGCTTACAATTGCTTGTCCAGCATGGCCTACTTATTCTGCAATCCTTTGTGTTTCACTCGAAGTAAGAGAAAAATCCCTATGATGGAATTAATTTATTCTTTTTCAGTCTTGTCTCTTGATAGCTCTTGGATCACAGCATCCCAATAGGGCTTTTGTTTGAGGCAAAGTGTAAGGAATGTTTGGGAGAGGCTTTTGTTAGCTTGAAAAGCCTTTAGCCATTTCACAAATTGGTTTTTTTCAGTACTGCAGAAACAATTTTTGGCACTTCTTGGTCTTAAGGTTGGCTGCTGTTTACAGATCATGAAACAAGAGCAAAGCAAAATTCACCTTATATTTGAGTGAGGGCCGTGTATTCCTCTTTGGTCTCACTTCAGACTCCCCAACATCAGCTGGAGCAAAGACAAGCTCTTCCTTCTCCAAAAAGGTAGTGTGTTATATTGTACATTGAGGCTCTCCACAAAGGACTGTGATGCCCAGGTCAGAGCTTTCTGCCCAGGCTGTGGGGAAAAGCAACCATGCAGTTCACGTTTTGTGGAATGGGATGTTTCCAAATGATATTCACTTGAAGTCAGCAGATAAAATGACCAAAATAGACAAATCCCATATCATAACCCCAGGGCCTATTGAATTTATGTAAATAATAAAGCTGAACTAATAAGACAACACTTGGGAAATATGTCATGTAGCTCTGTTACATGATGATGGCCTATTACACACACACAGAGGTGTTTCTTTTGCATTGCTGGAGATTAGAACAAAAGCATTTGGGATTTGGCATTTGTCAAAGTTGTATCTACATTACAGAACCCAGCCCCAGACCTTCATGCAGACAATGTGGCCTGTGGGATCACAGGTTTGGGACTCGGGTGGTCTCTTCACTGCTTTGCAACGTGTTGTCGTGCTACAGCAAAGTTCCTCTGCTGTGAAGGTGCTGCGTGCTTGTGAAGCCACCTTTGGGTGTGGGAGACCTGAATGAGTTCCTGCCATGCAAAGGCATCAGTGTTAGATGGGTGTGACACAGAACACCCTGCCCAGAATTAAAAATCAATTGATGACTCAAATCTGGATCCAATCTACTGAGAAGCAGTTTGCTACTTTCAAAAAGGATTGACTAAAGGTGGCCATGAGTGGCCAATTTCTGAAAGCCCCCAGTTACTCAATTTCTTGTGAACTCATCCAAACTGGTGTTTCCTAAGTTTTGTGATTAATTGGTCAATGTCTGGTTTGCTAATTGTGACTTTTTCTTAGACCACATTCTCAAGACACCCAGAGACTCTTCCCAAGCAACGTTTGATTCTAGGGATGGAGAAGGACTTTTTCTTGGCAAGTCAAAGGACAATGTGTTGTGAGATGTATGATGTAAGTACATAGATCTAGAGGATAAGCAAGTACCATGGAAAGATTTACAGTACAGACTGAAGAATCATAGTATTAAGGGGGCTAAGTCAGCAGACTCCTCTTTTTTTGGTAACAGTTATATCTTTTTTGGAAATAGCTGTTGCAGACGTTACTTTCCATGTCTAGGTTTTTTTTTTTTTTTTGGTAACAGTTATATCTTTTTGGAAATAACTGTTGCAGACGTTACTTTCCATGTCTAGGTTTAAGTCAGCTTTGGCAGTAACATCAGTCCATCCCATTTGTTTTTGTCTATAGCCATTGCTCTTGCATGAAGATGGCCATGGAGGCAAGTTTTTACTTTTGTCCATTTGAGAAGTCCACAGCAGATACTCATAGGAAGGAGAGAACTTGCTGTATCATACAGCAGAGCCAGGGCACACGGGAATGGTCGCCTGTCAGTGGCTGTGGTCATCTGTCTAGAGGGAAATAGTGAGGGCTTCACATTTCTGTCTGTGAGGAAGAGTCACAATTCAAAAGGTGGGTTTTTTTCCCAATTGGATTGAAATCAGAACGCCTGTCAGTGGCTGTGGTCATCTGTCTAGAGGGAAATAGTGAGGGCTTCACATTTCTGTCTGTGAGGAAGAGTCACAATTCAAAAGGTGGTTTTTGTTCCCAATTCAATTGAATACAATCAGAAGTACAAGAAGATATGACTGTCGCCTGTCAGTGGCTGTGGTCATCTGTCTAGAGGGAAATAGTGAGGGCTTCACATTTCTGTCTTCGAGGAAGAGTCACAATTCAAAAGGTGGTTTTTGTTCCCAATTCAATTGAATACAATCAGAAGTACAAGAAGATATGACTGAAAAAAAAATAACAGAAATCACTAACTTTTGTCTCGCTTATTTTCCAGCAAAGTTTCCACAAGAACTAATGCTGTTTTATGAAATCTTCCAACTTGGTTAAAACAGCTTCTTCCCCGCCTCTTTTTTGCCCAGGTAAGTGACAGCAGAGACCTCCAGTGGCGGTGGGAGAGGCTCCCAGGAGAGAAGCTGGTGGGTGAGCAGGGCTGGGCTGCTGGTGCCCTCTGGTGCTTGCATGCTCCTTCTGGCAGCCTGCTCCCAGGGACGGGCTGGCAGAGGGATGTCCTGAGCCCACAAAGCAAGGACAAGCTGCTGTGGGAGCAGCCAGGCAGTGAACACTCCGCTGGGTCAGTGCAGTGACCCTTGGGGCTGGGCACCTGGAGGGCTGACAGCTCGCAGGAGGCAGGAATAACAAGAGCTGACCCTGCAGTGCTTTCCTTCCTTTCTCCCTCCCCGGTTCTCTCTACAGCTCTGACCTTGCCATGGAGTTTTTAACACTTTTCTTAATGTCCTATATTTCTCCTGCCTTTCCTGTCCTGGAAAATAAGGATACAGCCAGGCAAATTACCTGCTTATGGCTCTGTGTGCTGTTTTGAATGTGATATTCAGCCAGGTTCATTGATTGTCCTGCCTGGTACATACTTACTTTTCATCAGACCCATACATACAGCAGGAAGGGGTTAAACCTTCCTTATCTCACCCTACAGAGCAGGTCTCTGCAAGGAGCAAGACAAGGCTGGATACCCTGAGCTGAAATAAATCCCTTGCAGGTGCTTCAAGGCGCAACATGGGTGTGGGGAGAAGGTACTTCAGAAGAGCATTTAGGGCTTTGTGGCTTTGACTGATGGGGACTTAGGGAGAGTGAGAGATGGGTTTAGTCCTGGAAATGACCAAAATAGACAAATCCCATATCATAACCCCAGGGCCTATTGAATTTATGTAAATAATAAAGCTGAACTAATAAGACAACACTTGGGAAATATGTCATGTAGCTCTGTTACATGATGATGGCCTATTACACACACACAGAGGTGTTTCTTTTGCATTGCTGGAGATTAGAACAAAAGCATTTGGGATTTGGCATTTGTCAAAGTTGTATCTACATTACAGAACCCAGCCCCAGACCTTCATGCAGACAATGTGGCCTGTGGGATCACAGGTTTGGGACTCGGGTGGTCTCTTCACTGCTTTGCAACGTGTTGTCGTGCTACAGCAAAGTTCCTCTGCTGTGAAGGTGCTGCGTGCTTGTGAAGCCACCTTTGGGTGTGGGAGACCTGAATGAGTTCCTGCCATGCAAAGGCATCAGTGTTAGATGGGTGTGACACAGAACACCCTGCCCAGAATTAAAAATCAATTGATGACTCAAATCTGGATCCAATCTACTGAGAAGCAGTTTGCTACTTTCAAAAAGGATTGACTAAAGGTGGCCATGAGTGGCCAATTTCTGAAAGCCCCCAGTTACTCAATTTCTTGTGAACTCATCCAAACTGGTGTTTCCTAAGTTTTGTGATTAATTGGTCAATGTCTGGTTTGCTAATTGTGACTTTTTCTTAGACCACATTCTCAAGACACCCAGAGACTCTTCCCAAGCAACGTTTGATTCTAGGGATGGAGAAGGACTTTTTCTTGGCAAGTCAAAGGACAATGTGTTGTGAGATGTATGATGTAAGTACATAGATCTAGAGGATAAGCAAGTACCATGGAAAGATTTACAGTACAGACTGAAGAATCATAGTATTAAGGGGGCTAAGTCAGCAGACTCCTCTTTTTTTGGTAACAGTTATATCTTTTTTGGAAATAGCTGTTGCAGACGTTACTTTCCATGTCTAGGTTTAAGTCAGCTTTGGCAGTAACATCAGTCCATCCCATCTGGTTTTGTCTATAGCCATTGCTCTTGCATGAAGATGGCCATGGAGGCAGACTTTTACTTTTGTCCATTTGAGAAGTCACCAGCAGATACTCATAGGAAGGAGAGAACTTGCTGTATCATACAGCAGGGACAGGGGACACGGGAATGGTGGCCTGTCAGTGGCTGTGGTCATCTGTCTAGAGGGAAATAGTGAGGGCTTCACATTTCTGTCTGTGAGGAAGAGTCACAATTCAAAAGGTGGGTTTTTTTCCCAATTGGATTGAAATCAGAAGTACAAGAAGATTCGACTGAAAAAAAAAATAACAGAAATCACTAACTTTTGTCTCGCTTATTTTCCAGCAAAGTTTCCACAAGAACTAATGCTGTTTTATGAAATCTTCCAACTTGGTTAAAACAGCTTCTTCCCCGCCTCTTTTTTGCCCAGGTAAGTGACAGCAGAGACCTCCAGTGGCGGTGGGAGAGGCTCCCAGGAGAGAAGCTGGTGGGTGAGCAGGGCTGGGCTGCTGGTGCCCTCTGGTGCTTGCATGCTCCTTCTGGCAGCCTGCTCCCAGGGACGGGCTGGCAGAGGGATGTCCTGAGCCCACAAAGCAAGGACAAGGTGCTGTGGAGGCGGTGAACACTCCACTGGGTCAGTGCAGTGACCCTTGTGTCTGGGCACCTGGAGGGCTGGGAGGTCGCAGGAGGCAGGAATAACAAGAGCTGACCCTGCAGTGCTTTCCTTCCTTTCTCCCTCCCCGGTTCTCTCTACAGCTCTGACCTTGCCGTGGAGTTTTTAACACTTTTCTTAATGTCCTCTATTTCTCCTGCCTTTCCTGTCCTGGAAAATAAGGATACAGCCAGGCAAATTACCTGCTTATGGCTCTGTGTGCTGTTTTGAATGTGATATTCAGCCAGGTTCATTGATTGTCCTGCCTGGTACATACTTACTTTTCATCAGACCCATACATACAGCAGGAAGGGGTTAAACCTTCCTTATCTCACCCTACAGAGCAGGTCTCTGCAAGGAGCAAGACAAGGCTGGATACCCTGAGCTGAAATAAATCCCTTGCAGGTGCTTCAAGGCGCAACATGGGTGTGGGGAGAAGGTACTTCAGAAGAGCATTTAGGGCTTTGTGGCTTTGACTGATGGGGACTTAGGGAGAGTGAGAGATGGGTTTAGTCCTGGCTAGACAATGAGTTAGGCTTTCCAGTTCATGAGCTGCATCTCTGACTTCCATAGTGTGAGGTCTCTCTTTTCCTCCTCTTCTGTCTTAGGGCTGTGTATGACCTGTCCCCGCTATAGGTGACTGTGTGCACATGCACGTGTGTATATATATATATTTATATATAAAAGAGAAGCAAGGTTAGACTGGTCTGTTGTATCACAAGGTGCCAGCCTTGCTGTAAGGAGAAGCAGCTGAGGACACACAACGTTTCTCAGCAGGTGGCTGACTCATACAGAAGATAGTTTTCTTGATGCTATAAAAACACAGAGGCAGAGCTTCTTTGTACTTGAGAATAAGGAATGCCTGCCGATTACAGCTATATTCCGCTGCACTTCAGTGTATGATAGAGATGTTCAAGTGCTGACAATACTCACAACAGAGCCAGAAGGGGCGGGAGCATCGCTGGGTGCCCACAACACCTCATCTTGTCTTGCCTGGACCTGTGGAAGGGGAGAGTGTGCTTTGGGAGGACCCACTCAGCCAATGTGGGAGTTGTGAGAACACAGCACAGCAGCTGACACCAGTAGCACTGTTCCTGAAGTGCTGGGTGCCAAATACTTTTAATGCTGTTAGTGCCATGGTACAGCCAGAACTGATGGCTGAGGGACCAGTGTCGTGATAGCCTACTTCTTCCTGAGCAGCCTTTTAAGGCTGGGCTGAGTTTCTGGGAGCATGTGCCAGCTCTGAGCCCCTCCTCCTGCTGAAAACTGGTCTTCCAATAGTGTAAGTGACCTTAAAACTCGTCATGCTTCTTACTCCTGGCTGCTTATGCATCAGGAGTCTCTCCAACTGGCATAGCCTCAAGACCCTGCCCTGATGGGGTAGCTAAACAGGTAGGGTTAGGGCAGTGCTAAACAACACTGCTGCACTCTAGTGCAGCCAGTTGGTCACCAGCATGAATAGAAACTTTGTTGAGAGAGGAAAATCAGACGTCAGATTGATTACCTTTTTTTTCAGCTTGGTTTGGCTTATAATTGAGGACAAGGTTTGAGTGTTAGATGTTGGTGGCTTTTGACTTTGTGCAACACAAACATTACAGAGGAGAGAGGGAAGTAGAAAGCAAGCAAATCTCTTGTGTAAACCTCTGGGAAGGTGTAATGTGGTGGTTGTGTTTTACTTCCAGCTATAAACTGGTACTTGATGCTATCTGGCTTTTTAATCCTGTCTTAATCATCTCTGCTGCCTTTGTATTAGTCTCCGTAACACCTCTTTAGCAGTGTGCAGACAATAGCTCTGGGAGTGTTGTGTGGCCAGAGCAGGGTTTGCTCTGGAGTTACTACAATGGGATAAATCAGGATTGAGTTTTAGTCTTGAGTTGACTGAGGATTTGGCATGTTTGATGGTAGGCAGGTCTCCGCGACCCTTGGCTTTCCTCTCTCTTCCTTTGCAACTTAGAAGTAGCCTCAAGTGAAGGTCTCTTTGTGCAGGCAGGTGAGAATAGATGGTCTTGCATGAGCTGTAAGACACAAACTTCCACTGTTGAGTTCTGGTGACCCTGCTGGCATTTGTAGGTGTGGACGCAGTAACATCTGCAAGCCAATAACGTTTCTTTTCGTATATTCCCTGCTTGTAACTGGATGCTTAAGCAAACAGAGGTAAGAGAAGCTGCTTATTGAATCAAATATTGCCTTGTTTATAAAAATCTCTCTAGGTGACATTGCAAAAGCAGGCATGTAGTGCCACGCAGTCACAAAGATGGATGTGACCTGTTCGCTTACGCATTCTTGCAAAGATCTACGCTGAGATAAGAATCAGTCCTGTCAATTTGAAACTATACTTGCACCGATAATAAATCTGAAGGTCTAATTTTTGCTCAGTTACTTTCTGAACCAGTGGCCAATTCTAGTATCTGCCAATCCTTTAGACAAAGCTGTGCAAATTAAATGCCTGTGTGGAGAGTCCGCTCTGTTTCTGGTCTGAACTATCCCTTTGGTCCTGTGAATCCACTGGTTTGAAGAGAGAGTGGCTCTGCAGCTGAAATGGGCCAAAATGCTCCATGCTGCAAAGGCTTTGATGCCAAACGTCACAGTTGCCTGTTCATGCTAAAGCTCTTTTCTTACCAACACTGACCACAACAGTATATTCAAGAGGAAAAACTTTTTTTATAGGTTACCTGCAAGGTAGGACTTTCCAAAATTGCATTTTCTGCCTTAACCCAGAACCTTGCAGAATGTCTGCCCTGAACATGGCCCCAGGCAAAGTGGCTGTAAGACTGATCCACTCGTAAGCAGGAGATGTTCTGATGGATACCTGGAGAGCCCTCTTGACTGTCTCTTCTGTGACTTGGCAGGTAGGAGACAGAGGTTTTGGTCCAGAGCAGCAGCAGCAGCAAGGGCAGGACTGCTGTGCAGAGGAAGCAGTGATCCATGGGGCAATGCTGGTTGGTCCATTGCCACCGAAATCACAGTTCTGACACGTGGGAATTTTATTAGTGGTGTTTCCTTGTTTGCTTTTTTTGAGAGATAAGGAGGGGGGAGAAGTTTCACACAGCCTTATTTCAATTACTGAGGAGTCTTCCTTTGTGTGCCAAGTCCCTGTAAGCCTGAGATCTGTACAGAGAGGATAAAAGAAGAGCTAAGTGCAATTGATGACTGTATCATAACACCATTTTTGTGGGCTTGGAGCTGTTTATGCCTTAGACCACAGATTTTGTGTCACTTCTGTCTTTATCCTCTTCTGTCAGCTCTGGATGCAACCCTTTGTAGGGGGCTCACACAGCTCATTCTAGCTGACTGTAGCAGCAAGCCCAGCTGTTTCTTGCCCCACCAAAGAGACGAGGCTGATGTTCTAGGCTGATGCTTGACCTTCATATGTCTCTTTCCATCTTTCTGGTTCTCTGTCCAGTCTCCTTTGGGGATCCTCCTAAAAGCTGCTGTTGTGTCTGTCACCTTCTGACCTGTGGTCCAAAGGGTTCAGGCCAAGGGTTGAACACCACAGATGTGTCATGCTGTTTTCCTCCAGGACTCTTTGTTGGCGCCTACTTTGTCTGGGCATCTTGGTATGATTTTTGTTCTGTAACCTCTTCTGTAAGTATATACATATGAAATTCATTCTTAGATGAGTTCATGTAATGAAGGGATCTAGTGTGACAGACATGGAAACAAAGAATGAATTTAGTTTCCCTTTCAGAGCTGTATGTCTCCAGATCCTCTTTTTATAACTGGATTATGTTGTTACAGCAGAGCCCTGACATTTCTTCTTCATGAGGTGACCAATGATTCTATGATTCTATAAGAAACAGAAAAATGGCATGGAGTTTTTGAAAGGTATCTTCTTATATCCAGAAGCTTCTTTTGCCTTTCTGATCAGTTATGACAATTTGATTTTCTTTTCTAGGTGGCATGCGTTTGCTTTCAGCCTTCAGCATGCCTTTATATCATTTCCACACCACCTGCAAGATTTTAAACTGCCCCTTTGGGTTCCTCTTCAGCAGTGTTCTTATTTTGTACGTTGTTGTCCCTGTCCTTAAACCTCTCCTCTCCATTCTGGGACATGCCCTGTATTTAGGGTTAATGGAAAGGAGTGTGCTGGTGGGGCTGTCTGAACCTGGTGAGTCTTGAAGGCCCTCGCAAGGTAAGGAGTGTGCTGGTGGGGCTGTCTGAACCTAGTGAGTCTACAGAGGAGCTTGGCTGTGGTCTGACTGGCGTTAGTGAAGCCTGAGCCCCATCCTGTACATCCAGTACCAAACCCACAGTGAAATGTTCTGTATTAGCCCCTCTGGGGTCCTGCTGTCTTCTGAGATCTGCTGGTCCTTGGACCTATGTTTGATGGGGTTTTTCATCTGTGGTGTGAGCATGTGTCTCCTCAGACAGCGTAGTCTCGCTGATGCGAGATGCTCTCTAGAGCATAATGAGACCTGGCTTTTCTGAGAAAGCACAAAGCCCCTTTTGTTCTGGATGAAAACCACCGGGAAGTATGATGACTTTGAGCTGAGCAGGGCGTGTGGCGTGGTGGAGATGGGATAGGGAAGGATTTATTTTCCGTTGCCACACCTGGCTTAACATGGCAGGAACATCTTGGCAGTCAATTGTACAATTTAGTGTCACTGAAGAACTCTTGAGCCATACTTGATGCTACACATGCACAGTCAGGTCAGATGAGAAGAGGATTATTATGGCACTGACTCATTTTCCTGTGGTACAAAACCACATCTGGGACCTGTCCCACTCCTGCCCACCCATTGCAGATTTCATCGCCTCCCCTCCTGCCCTCACCTCTT